TTTTGGGCCAAGTGGGAGGAGGAATTAAGCAGGAATCAAATACACTTGTGTGGCATATATGGATGTATTGGTGGGGACCAGCGAGGTTAGAAATTTAGTGAGGTACTGGAAGGTCAGTGAGATGAGAATACAGAAAAGGCTCTGCTTATCTACTCCCCAAGTGTGAGGAAAGAGAAGGATGACTGGTTTGCCAGTTCCACTTCCCGATCATCTCTGTCCCCAAAAGAGGGACCGTCAGAGCCCCAGAGGAACCAGGTGTGGGAGCTAAAACAACTTATTTCAGAGCCAAGATAGATGGCCAAACATTCCTCTTAGCAAGCAACAAAGAATTCATTGGGAATAAGGGTTGAGGGGGAGGATGGACAGGAGTAACAATTAGACACAAAGAAAATAACCTGCAATGCCCCAACACACTGATAAGAGAGAGTCAAAATCTCACTTTGTTACTCGAAGTCGGAGTAACTCCAGGTCTGACAGTTCTAGAGAAGGTCGGAGCAGTCCCTTTCTCTAAAAAGCAGACCTTCAAAGGCACGTCAAATAGCCTTAAGTAAAGGAGAGAACAACAAGTCCCTTGTCTTTCGACCTAGCGTTTCGTTTTCGAGACTGACAGTTCCTGGGTTCCCCAAACCGTAGGATCATAGATTTAGAGCTAAAAGGGACGTTAGACGTTAACTCCAAAGGTACCTTGCTGCTTACATTAGTTCATACAAAAACACTATTTAAAAGGTTAAAAGTAGTTGAGCTGGGACCTCGGGGGAGCCTAGCCCTGGAGTTAGATGGGCATAAAGGCTGGTGGAATTTATATGAGAAAGGGGAATTCATCCCCGTCCCACCGAAAGTCTTGCTCACTCCAACGACCCGCTTTCCCAGAGACTGAACTTTTCACACCTTCTATAAAACCCCTGAGTCTTGGCGCTTTGGCTGGGTGTGACGGGGAGGGGGGACGGTAGGGCAGGTCAGAAACCAAGGGAGTCACCGCCACCTTTGCTTTTCCCCGAAATGAATTCAAGCGCGCTTGCCTACGGAATTGCGCATAAAGGAGTTCTAGGGAAGGTAATGGGGTAGTGAGAACAGAGCGAAAACAGCCCTTGGCGTCACCTTTCCCAAATAACTAGCAGGTACCGACGGTTTCGACCCAGAGATCTAGCCACCCAGCCCATTCCTCAGAAAAGAGGCTCCCAGACGTAGTGCTAAGACCAGGAACTGGAGGAATCCAGCCACCCGAGTACGGTCGTAAAGGGCAGCTCTCTCTCATTGCGCTCTGCCCTGGGCCGCGGGAGCACAGACTGGAGCCTAGGCAAGTGGCTGAGAGTAGCGGGGACCTAAAGAGTGGCAAAGAGTACTACAGGGATTGGAAGAGAGACAGTGGGGAAATGAAGAAGCTGCAACCACTTCACTATGCAAAACCTGCAAAGGGGGCTGTGAAGACGCCGAGCTTTGCAAGCTGAAGGAAACTGGCCTTTTGTGAAGAAGGCTCTTTCTTCGCTGAAGAATTGGTCGAGTCTCTTCAGTCCAGGCAGGAGAAAAAGGGGAGATATGAACATATAAGAGAGGTGGAAAAAAGACGGAGAAAGATAAATTGTTATTCCTTGAACTCAAAAAACTTTTCCAAAAGGAGAAACAAGTGAACTTCCGACTCCCTCGAAACAACTTGGTTTAACCAACCCTCTCCACGAAGAAATATCCCCGGAGGTTCAGGAACCTTCCTGGGGTTCAGGAAGGGAGGTTCCCACCCTTCAAGCCGCTGGCGTTCCCTGAATAGCATCACCCTTGCACCTGGCAAACGGAGCTGTCTCCCTTGGGTCCCGGGATTGAACGTCCCTCATCTTTCCCCACACCCTCCTCTCTCATCCTCCGAAACTCTCAGATACTGGGGAGTTGATTTGAAGCTACATGGAAAGTGTCAGACATGATGGAACAGAATTCTCCCGCTCCCCCCTCCCTCCATTACTCCCCACGCAATGAGTTAGCTGTGTCACCAAGGGGAAAGCAAATGCGTGGATAAGGGTGCAGCGGGAAGGGGGAGTTCAGGACAACTTCACCAGCTGACCTACGTGGATACACCTTATCCACTGCCAAGGGAGATCCCAGTTCTTTCTTTTTGTATTCATTTATTTCTTTCCTTCCTTACTTCCCAGGGTTTGAGATCCCCGCTGTCCCACAGCGATTTTTCTCCTGTGCAGAATAGAGTTTCCCAAACTTCACCCCATGTGCATTAGACCCATTGCAGACCAACAGCTAAAGAGGGTTAAGGGTTAATAAGAAAGCCACCCAAGGTAAGATACCGGGACTGAAATGTCAAGCTGTCGGCACTGAACCCCAGTAGGGTGGGTGTAGTGGATGTGTGTTCCGGGTCCCTCCTCCCAACTCTCTTCAACGCCTCGGCTCCTCCCCATACAAAGAAAAAAGCCTGACATTTGAGGTCCTAAATGATCCATTTGGGCAAGACGTTGCCTTCCTTGCCCCTTCGCCGCCCCTCCCCTTCTACTTGAGGGCTGCAAAGCTGGGATGAAAGGCAAGATGCAAACCCGAGAGCTTTATCTATAGGGGGCCTGAAACTGCGGGAAAGTAACAACCAGAATTCCCTCCCTGATACTAAGGACAAACAGCAAAAGCGGTACAGACAGAAAGATATCAGATCTCACTTCTTTGGCCCAGTAGCCCTCGGGCAACTGAGTCTCGAAGGTGTGCAGACAGAAGTCCCTTTCTCTCTCACTTCTTACTGCCTCCACTCACGCACCCTGAATTCCCACCTTTCAAATAGCACGGGAGTCGAAGTTAGTATCTCACAGTGCGTTCCGGGAGATTTAGGTGACCAGAATCCCACCACAACTGGGATTCTGGGACAGTGGACTGCGAGAGGAAACCTACTGCATATCTGAAAATACACGAAATCCAGACGCATCTATGCACACACAACTTGTGGACACAACACGACAACTACCCCCCCCCCCCGCCATGGGCAACACACACACACACATACACACACCAGCGGACAACACACGGACTAAAACACAGTCAGCACGGACAAACAATCCCCTCCCCAAACACAACCCTACCCCGAGAAATATGAGGGTCAGAACTCCAGACACTTGGAGGGAGAGTGAAGGGGATAAGAAATGCGGGGTGGGGGGGTGGGGGGGGAGGTGGAGGCTGAGGAAGAAACAGAGGGATGGGAGCAGGGAGTGAAAACAAGAAAGCTGGCGATTTCAGTATTCACACTTCTAGCCAAAAGCAAACTCCTAAAGGTGAGACAGAAGAGGTGTTTGCAGATAGTTGCCTACTAGAAGGAAGACCAATAACTGCTGATAGGGTAAAGGAATAGTCATTTCTTTTCTTTCTTTTCTTTCTTCCTTCCTTCTTTCCTTCTTTTCTTTCCTTCCTTCCTTCCTTCAACATCAAGATCCTCTACCCCTACTCTTCAAAAACTCCTGGAAGGGGGGGAAAGCAGACTCCCTCATTGGTAGAGTGTGCCCACAAGCTAACTTTCCTCTGTGCCGAAACCCAAACCAGACCCAAACATAGACCCGAAGAGGTTACACGTGGCAGGTGCAAGTCCAGAGTGGCAGGTAAAGAAGACAGGTCGGTTGGCGAGCTGTCCTTAGCTAAAATAAAGCGCGAGAGAGTAGACGACATTGATATATATCTCGCGGGCATAAGCAGAGTTCTGTAGCGAGAGAAGCCATTTGTCTCTCTGCACAGACGTGTAAGCGACCTGTGTGTGAACCTCACCTAGAGAACGTTTTTACTGCATCAACAAAACGTGGGAGAGGGAAGTCAGCTTCGCCCCGGAGAGCAGTTACCGACACCCAATTATCCGTCCAGGCACTTTCGATGTCGGAGCGTCAGCCCCAGCGAACCTCATTATGTGCACACTTTTGAGTACACAGATAAATACAGAGCTCCAGAGATAAGTATAAGCGCATAAGAAACATAGACTGCATCAGGTTAATCCTCAAAACAAACAAATCTATACATCCCTGCGCGACATATCTCTCAAAGCTTGGTCCAGTAGGAAAAGAGCTGGACAGAGTCCGGAGACCTAGATTGGAATTTTGGCTCCGCCACTTAATACTTGTGTGACCTTGGGCAAAGCACTCCGCCTCTCTGGGCCTCAGTTTCTTCCTCTGTAAAATGAGTAGGTTGGACTAGATTGTCTCTAAGACTTCCAGACCTAGATCCTACGAGATCTAACTACAGCTAATATTTCTATGCCTACAGGCAGAAGCCCTAGCTCGCAACTTCTTGCTTCACTCTCCCTCCCCCGCATTCCTTGGTGGATAGGAATGTGACTGACAGATTCCCTGACGCTGAGGAGTCTCCAGCGGCTCAGGCTGTAGGCATCACAGCAAAACAGCCCGAGAGAGATCTCCCTCTGCTCCCGAGCCCCTTGCCTGGGACCCTTCCCGGGGTCAGCCCCCAGCCTCCCCAGAGAACCGCGGGAACCTCTTGGGAGTTGCGCTGGGAGGAGGGGAGGAAGGAAGTCTTCCAACTTCTCGCCAGTCGGGGTGAAGTTGCACAAACTGGGTACCGGGAGCTCCGCATCTCGCCTCTTTGGGGGAGATACAAGGAGGAGGCATTCTTCTCCCCCAACCCTTGGCCTTGTTTGGCTCTCCCTCCCCAGATCTCCCCAGCCAGCACACTCTTCACTGGCCTCTGAAAAGCTGCGAGCTGGCTGGGATTCCACCGCCTGTCCCCAGCTCAGACCAAGGACAGAGCTTTCTTGTTTGGCCTCTAGCTCCCAAAGCCCGAGGGAAGGACCCCTCACCCCAGTCTCCCCCATCTGCCACTTCCCCTCCATAATATCAGCCCCAGACTCCTCCCTCTCTCCATTCTGCCTCAACCTTCCCCAGCACTTAGCTCCCACCCGGATCCCTCCATCCCAAGCTCCTCTCATAGCCGTAGCTGATCGTTACCCTCCCTGCACCAAGCAGCCTCCGAGGCTGCCAGCTTTCTTTATTATTAAATCAATGAGGGGAGAAAAGGGGGGGTTGTCTTACGTTGCATCGGTACACCGAGGATGTCCGGGAGCCCCTTGACAGACCCTTCCGTGGTGACGGTCGAGCTCTGCATCATCTTGGACAGAGATGGGAAATAGCTGTCTATGGAAATCTCCCTCCCCTCTCTCACTCTTTCTCTCTGACTAGATTCAGAAATTTCAAAATTAAAAAAAAAAAAAAGATAAACCCCAAACGAAATAAGCAAAGTCACAATCGAAAGCCAGTCTCTTCACCCCTCCAGGAGGACTTGTAGGCTGGCACTCCCCCCCTGCCCCCCCTTCCACCCTTTAGACTGTTTCAAATCCCTTTGATCCTGCTCTCCCGGGTTAGTGTGTATCCCGGGTTAAGGCGACGCTGTTGCTGCAGCTCTGGCTCTTTTTTTCCCTCCCCCTCCTTCTTCTTTCCTCCCTCCTCCTTCTTCCCCCCTCCCCCCCCCCCCCCCCCCCCCCTTTTCCCAGCTCAGCTGCTGGTCCCTAGAGGCAGTTTTGATTCATTCACACTGCAGGAGCCGGCGTGACGTAGATTTCCGCAGGGAGGCCCCGCCCTTCAGCCAATCCCCTTACATCATGTGGGCAACCTGAGGCCGAGAAGGAACGTCCGAAGGGACCCAGGTAAACCGGGCCGAGGCTGGGGCTCGGGCTAGGGCGGGGCCTCTGGGGCTTGGAGGGGTGGGGCCTCGGAGGGCTTCTCTGGAATGCTCCCTGGGAACCCTGCCCCCCCGGGTCCGGCCTGGGTCCCCGGCCCAAGCCTTGTTCAATAAATATTCCAGCCCACTCTGCTGCGGCATCAGGTGTTTCGGAAATGGAAGATAGCTTTCATTTTATTGGATTGGGATGGAGTTTTTTGATCGTAGCGGATGGAGGACGCCAGAAGGGAAGAGTTGCTAGGGACCCCTCAGTTTTATGTGCCCAGGTAGACCCATCTATGGTAATGAATCCGCCCTTTCTATAAAGTGAACAGTTTGGCCCAGTATCCCGACGATGGTCTTTCTTTCACTCACTGCTCCCCGCGGGAGCCTCCTTGTAGGGGGTTGCACACTTCCCATCCTTTGCTTCTTCCCCTCCTCCTCTCGATCCATTCGTTTCCCAGTGGTTCCCCATCCCCAGACCTAGCTCTTCCCAGCGTCTCGCCGTTTCTTCCTCTCTGCCTGGGGTCTGGCTGCGGCTGGCCCAGGGACCCAGAGGAGGGTGCTAGGCTCGACGCTGTAGTCACAGAGGGCGGCCGGGCCGGCTGGTGGCGGCAGGGTCTTAGACAATCGCAGCTCGAGACTATGTGTCCTTGGGGACAGGGTGGGACGAGGTAGGTAGATTCATGTTCCAACCCTCTCCTCCTATACACCCCTCACACGATTTAAAAGAAGGTAAATCGTCTTGGGCCTGCCGCTCTCTGCCTACTACCAGCAGCCCGGGCCAGTGAGCCTTCCTCCCAGCCGGCCACCAGACCTGCTTTGGGCTGCCCCGCCCCCGCCCACTCTCCCTTCTCTCCCACCTATCCCAGCTTAGTTTCCCCTCCTTTCTCTGGACGGGGACATGTCAATTTTTTTCTTTTCCTTTTGCATCTGAGAATTGCAGCTGCTTACTTTGAAAACTAGAAATCGAACAAGGGTTTAAAAATGAGTGTTCTTTCACGTGTGTTTCTGCCTCTGGGAATAGCACGAATCTACGCATAAATATGTATAGCCAAAAAATTGTAAAGAAAAGACGACCATATTGATAAGCACATGGATTTTCTATTTTTTATTTACCTTATATATACTAACACGTAAAAACAAATTCTTTGTAAGGCGGATTCGGAAAGTAAATAAGATAGAATGCGACGCGACATAATTAATTCTACTCTAATATCATTACAAGACAATCGAAGATACTTCATCTAGTGCCCTGCAATCGATGTAAAATGCGCTATAACTCTGCGAAGGCTGATTCTAACAGAATACTCCCCAAAGCCCTCTTTCTTTCTGGTCAGTGGTCGGTCCCTAGCTGGTTAAGATGCTAACTGGAGGGTGACAGCGGTTTCACCTAGGGCTCTGGGAGCTGGAGTCCGGATTCTTCCAGATCCCCGAGTGCACATGAACTTCAACCCCATTTGGCCAAAGGGTCCACGCTGGGGAGCCCACACTAATCCAGTCCTCTTGCCACTTACTCTCCCGCACTCGGCTGCCCACGACAAACTCCAAAAGGGAGGCGGGACCTCCCACTTCGTTTTCTGTCCAAATCCCCAAATCCTCACCCCCTAGATCAAGGATTCTTAACCTTTTGGACAGTCTGGTGAAACCTACGGACTCCTACTCAGAATAATTTGTTAAATGCAGAAAATAAAAGATTTATAAAGGAAACTAATTGCATTGATATTTTTTAAGAAAGAAAAACCAAGTCCCTGGATCCGAGGTTAAGAACTTCTGCCCTTGCCTCTCTCCAGGCTTGGTGGCAGCAGTAATGTAGGGAATTAAATGTCTTTTGAAGCCAAGGTAAATTTCCTTCCCTCTAAGCGAAATCATCACCTGCGTTGGAAGGAACTCCACGCTGCCGGCCACACCCTCTGGTTTTGCCTGAGGTTGCCTGGGGCAGCCCCCTCACCTGGTATTTCACCTGGGTAAACAAACACACGCACTTAACCCCAAATCTTGTCTCTTACCCTTTGCACTACCCCAAATCTTAAGAACGCCTGCTCGCGGCTTCCTTTCCGTATACCCCTCATGGCGAGTGACAGCTCTGGAAAGGCGCCTCCTACAGACTAGTTCTTTCAGCATCTTCAAATTACTCTTAGGGGGGCATCACATATTTACCTGGACCAATTTGAACTTAAAAATAACTACACACTACCAATGTGGCCCAGATCCCTTCTTCGACCTTTGCCTGTGTCATGGCTTCAAGTATCTGACGGTTGGCTAGTATTATTAGATTTAAGAAAGAGGTCATTAGTTGTATTTTCAGTTTTTATTACAATAATTTCTACAGTCTTTGCTCTGGTTGGGATTTCCATAGATTTAGAGCTGGCAGTGAAACCCACTGAGTCCAACTTCCTTATTGAGAAACCTGAGACTGGCTAGTGACTTGTCCAGGGTCACACAGCTAGTAAGTGTCTAAAGTCTTCTAGACTCTACTACATGAAGCGGTTTCTTTTTAATCCTTCACCTACTATCTCCATCTTTTGATGATGCAGTGAGAAGAAATGTGCAACTAGGTAGTTCAGTGGATAGAGAGAGCCAGTCCTGGAGTCAGGAAAACTCCTCTTTGTGAGTTCAAGTCTGGTCTCAGACACTTACTAGCTGTGTGACCCTGGGCAAGTCACTTCACCCTGTTTGCCTCAGTTTATTCATCTGTCAAATGGGCTGGAGAAGGCAATGGCAAACCACTCCAGTATCTTTGCCGAGAAAACCCCAAATGGGGTCATGAAAAGCCTGAAAATGATTGAACCAATAGCTTTGCAGTCATTTTTGACAACTCAAGAGATTGAAAGCCTATCTTCTTTCACACCAACCCTTTCTCTTAGCAGATGAATTAGGTTAATTTTGATCTCCCAATTTATCCACACCCATCCAGAGCTGGAGGACAATGTAAGCAGACCATTAATATACAGTTTCCATAGATAGTCATAGAAATTAATTTCCTTACAAGCTCTCATTTATATGGCTCCCATATAATATTTCTTTTGAGCCTCACAACAACCTAGTAAAGCAGGTAGCACAGGTATTATTATTCCCGTTTTACAGAGGTTCAATGACTTGCCCAAAGGCATTCAGTTTCCGAGTCTCTTTGTTGAGTTCACTCTTCTGACTCCAAATGCAATGCTCCTTCCTTTCCAATGTACTATAAGACAATGATACCTTGTAATAGTGGGGGCAAAAGAGGGAGGACAGGGAGTAATTGCAATTATCAACACCCAATTATATAAAATTTTCAAGTTCATTCCCAAAAAGCTGCCCAAAAAGCTATTACTGTAATCCTTTCTGGAAACAGGTTGGTTGGTTTGTTTTTAAAGGTTGGCAGTGACAGGGGAAGGAAAGAAAAAGGATGAGATAAATGGAAGAAATAGGTTGAGACCATTGCTAATATAATCTCCCAGGGGCAACTGGTGGTACAATGGACAGAGCTCTGGGCCTGGAGTCAGGAAGACCTCAGTTCAGATCTGAGCTCAGACCCTTACTGTGTGACTCTAGGCAAGTCACTTAACCTCATCTTGCCTCAGTTTCTTCAACTGTAAAATAAAAGTTATAATAGCACCTACCTCTCAGCTTGTTGTGAGGACCAAATGAGACAATATTTGTAAAAAGTACTTAGCACAGTGCTTGGCATAGTAAGTGATGAATAAATGCTTATTCCTTCCCCATTTGATCTGAAGCTTCTTAAGACCCAACATGGTTTACTGCAGGGTTTTTTCTTTTTAATATTTTGATAACAATTTCAATATAATTAGTCTCCTTTGGAGTCCTATGTATTTTATTCTTCTTATTTAAAAATATGATTCTGAGAAGGGGTCTGTAAGCATACCCAGACTGTCAAAGGTATCCATGATGCCAAAAAATGTTAAGAACTCCCTGGTTTAGATGATAGTGGCCCAGCCTCCACCCTGGGAAAGCCTAAATTCCAATCCAACTTACATCACATCCTGGCTGTTTAGCCCTGGACAAAGTGACTTAACTTCCCAGGACCTCAGGCAATAAGACTACAAGTTGGCTGGCTATTGTCAATGTGACTGGGTAGAGGGAGGATCCTCACTAGGAATTCCCTATTTCTATGAAATCAGAGAGCTGATTTTTTTTAAGTGCTGAGAAGGCTGGATCTGAAGTTAGAGAATGTGAGTTTAAATGGGGTTTCTATCACTTCTATGATCATAGGCAAATCATTTAACTACTTTGGGCCTCAGTTTCCTCAACTGTTAAATAGGGGGAGGGGGGAAGTTGGATCAGAATGATCTCTAAGGTCCCAAGTCAGTGATGCCATGACCTACAGCAATAGTCAACAATCCCCAATAAACTGAGAAGACACAATTGTTCTCACCTTTAATAAAAATAGCCAGCCTTTATAGAGTGATCTAATCTTTGCAAAGTGCTTTTAAAAACATCATCTCATTTTA